GGAGTAGCATTGCTCATCAAAAACCAGTCGAGTTTTGAGGAGATGAGAGGAATGGACAGAAGAGAAACAGACGATTTCATTGCAGGAACACTTCAGACTGAGGGCCCAAAGGTGATGATAGCAGTGATGTATAACCCACCGCTTAACAGCAGGAGGACAAAATAAGAGTATGATGTGCGCAAGAGGGCAGTGGTGGATATACTAGCTGAAGTGGCTAGGAGGGGTCATATGGATAGGACAAAATTGCTTATAATGGGGGATTTCAATCATAAAGAGATTGACTGGGAAAACCTAGAGCCACATGGGGGACCAGACACATGAAGGGCTAAGATGTTGGAGACTGTATTGGAGAACTTCATGCACCAACATGTTAAGGATACAACCAAAGAGAGAGGAGAGTATGTTGCAGCAAGGCTGGATCTTATATTCACCTTGAATAATCCAGACATAGGGGATATCACCTACATAAGCCCCCCTTTGGGTTTGCTATGATCATGATGTTCTGAGTTTTGAATATCTTGTAGAGTTAACAGTGGAGAATGCAGCAGCACGAGAACAAAGAGAGAAACCGAACTTCAGAAAAGGGGACTACATAGGAATGAGAAGTGCAGTGTGAAAGCATGAAGTACAGTGGGAAAGAGAACTAGATGGAAAGACAGTAAATAAAACGATGGAAATAGTGACCACTAAGTGCAGGGAGGCAGAGGAAAGGTTCATACCAAAGGGCAACAGAAAAAAAATGGTAAGACCAGAGCAAGCCCATGGTTTAACTGGAGGTGTAAAGAGGCCAAAGCCAAGTGTGCTAGAGCATGGAAAATGTATAGAAGGCAAAGAACTCAAGAGAACAAGGAGCTGAGCAGAAGAACCAGAAACGAATATGCAAGGATAAGGAGAGAGGCCCAGAGGCAATACGAGAACGACATAGCATCAAAAGCCAAATCTGAACCAAAGTTGTTATACATCACATTAGGAAAAAAACAACAGTCAAGGACCAGGAAACAGGCTGAGGAAAGAAGGGGGGGAGCTTGACGAAGAGTGACCAAGAAGTATGTGATGAACTAAACAAAAGATTTAGAGAAGTAAACACAATAGAGTCAGGAATGCTTCCAGCAAACTGTGGAGGTAGAGTGCACCAGCAGGTGCTGGACACAGTACACATAACCAAGGTAGAGGTGAAGAAACTGTTAGACGAACTAGATACCTCAAAGGCGGTGGGCCCAGATAACATATCTCCATGGATACTGAGAGAGGGAGCAGAGGAACTGTGTGTTCCGCTAGCGACAATCTTCAGTAAATCTATCGAAACTGGGCAGTTGCCTGAGGTGTGGAAGACAGCACATGTAGTTCCAATTTTTAAGAAAGGAGACAGACAGGCAGCGTTAAACTACAGACCAGTGTCACTGACTTGTAGAGTATGTAAAGTCATGGAAAAGATTATCAGGAGAAAAGTAGTGGGACACATTGAAAAGATTGAGCTCATACATGACAGTCAGCACGGCTTCAGAGATGGGAAATCTTGTGTCACAAATCTACTTGAGTTCTACGATAAGGTAACAGAAGTAAGACAGGAGAGAGAGGGATGGGCAGATTGCATCTTTTTCGACTGCAAGAAGGCTTTTGACACATTACCACACAAGAGACTGGTGTGAAAATTAGAGGAGCAGGCAGGAATAACAGGGAAAGTACTGCAATGGATCAGGGAATACCTGTTGGTACGTGCTGAAGTGTCGGAGTGGGCGCATGTGTCGAGTGGGGTTCCACAAGGTTCAATCCTAGGCCCGGTGCTGTTTCTTGTATACGTGAATCATATAGAGGAAGGAATAGATTCAGAAGTGTCACTGCTCGCTGATGATGTGAAACTGATGAGGAGAATACAAGTAGGGGAGGATCAGTTAAGATTACATGGGGATCTTGTAATCTTAACTGTAAATGGCTCCTGGAGTTTAACCCCAGTAAGTGTAAGGTCATGAAGACTGGGAAGGACACAGAAGACCGCAGACGGAGTACAGGTTAGGAAATCAAAAGCTGCAAACGTCAATTAAAGAAAAAGGATCTTAGGGTAAGCATTATAACGAACATGTCTCCTGAGGCACACATCAATCAAATAACTGCTGCAGCATGTGGGAGATTGGCAAACCTGAGATTGGCGTTTAGACATCTGAGTAAGGAGTCATTCACGACATTGTACACAGTGTACGTAAGGCCTATAGTGGAGTATGTAGCGCCATTATGGAACCCTCACTTAGTCAAACACGTCAAGAAATTGGAGAAAGTGCAAAAATTTGCAACACGATTAGTCCGGGAACTGAGGGGTCTGTCTTATGAGGAGAGGTTAAGGGAACTCAACCTGACGACACTAGAGGATAGAAGGAATAGAGGGGACATGACAACAACGTATACTGAGAGGCATTGACAAGGTGGACAGGGATAGAATGTTTCAGAGATGGGAAACAGGAACAAGGGGCCGCAGTTGGAAGCTGAAAACCCAGATGAGTCATAGGGATATTAGGAAGTATTTCTTTAGCCTTAGAGTTGTCAGGAAGTGGAATAATATGGAGAGTGAAGTAGTGGAAGCTTGTTCCATATATAGCTTTAAGAAGAGGTATGACAAAGATCATGAAGTAGGGGGAGAGTGAAATAGAATAGACCAGTGAAGAGGCGGGGCCAGGAGCTATGAATCGACCCCTACAACCACATATAGGTGAGTACACACAAGCACACACACATGGCTCTGTGTTTTGAATACATGGTACAATTACAAGTAGACAGGGTAACAGGAGTTGGATGGAAGAAGCCAAACTATAAAAAGGGGGACTACACAGGTATGAGGACATTCTTGCAGGAGGTTCAGTGGGACAGAGAATTGGCAGGAAAGTCAGTAAATGAAATGATGGAATATGTAACAACAAAATGCAGGGAGGCAGAGGAAAGGTTTGTTCCCACGGGCAATAGAAATAATTGGAAGACCAAAGCGAGTCCTTGGTTTACCCAAAGGTGCAAGGAGGCAAAAACTAAGTGCAACAGATAATGGAATAGATACAGGAAGCAAAGGACCCAGGAAAATAGAGAGACTAGTCGAAGAGCCAGAAACGAGTATGCACAGATAAGGAGGGAGGCCCAGCGACAGTACGAAAACGATATAGCATCGAAAGCCAAGTCTGACCCGAAGCTGCTGTATAACCACATTAGGAGGAAGACAACAGTCAAAGACCAGGTGATCAGGCTGAGGAAAGAAGGCAGGAACTCACCAGAAGCGATCAAGAGGTATGTGAGGAGCTTAGCAAAAGATTTAAGGGAAGTATTTACAGTGGAGACAGGAAGGCCTCTGGGTGGACAGAACAGAGAGGGACACCAACAAGGAATATACCAAAAAGTGTTAAATGACATACACACAACTGAGGAGGAGGTGAATAAGCTGCTAAGAGACCTTGATACCTCAAAGGCAATGGGACCAGACATCTCCCCATGGGTCCTTAGAGAGGGAGCAGAAATACTGTGTGTGCCACTAACCACAATCTTCAATACATCCCTTGAAACGGGGCAACTACCTGAGGTATGGAAGATGGCAAATGTAGTACTCATATTTAAAAAAGAAGACAGAAAAGAGGCACTAAACTATAGACCAGTGTCACTGACGTGCACAGTATGCAAAGTAATGGGGACGATTATCAAGAGGAGAGTGGTGGAGCACATGGAACAGAACAAGAGTATAAACTCCAACCAGGACGGTTCTATGGAAGGCAAATCCTGTGTCACAAACCTACTGGAAGTATGGCACGAGAGAGAGGGGTGGGTTGATTGCAGCTTCTTGGACTACAAGAAGGCCTTCGACACAGTTCCTCACAGGAGATTGGTGCAGAAGCTAGAGGATCAGGAGCATATAACAGGAAGGGTGCTGCAATGGTTCAGAGAATACCTGACAGGGAGGCAACAACGAGTCATGGTACGTGATGAGATATCACAGTGGGCACCTGTGACGAGCTGAGTCCCACAGAGGACCAGTGCTCTTTCTGGTATATGTGAATGACATGATGGAAGTGTTAGACTCAGAAGTGTCCCCGTTCGCAGATGATGTAACGTTAATGAGGAGAATTAAATCAGATGAGGATCAGGTAGGATTCCAAAGAGACCTGGACAGGCTGAACACCTGGTCCAGCCTGTCCAGGTTTAACCCCTCCAAATGCAAATTCATGAAGATCGGGGAATGGCAAAGAAGACCGCAGAAGGGGTATAGGCTAGGTGGCCAAAGACTGCAAACCTCGCTCAAGGAGAAAGATCTTGGGGTGAGTATAACACCGAGCACGTCTCCGGAAGCACTCATCAACCAGATAACTGCTGCATCATATGGGCGCCTGGCAAACCTGAGAACAGCATTCCGATACATCAGTAAGGAATCGTTCAAGACACTGTAAACCGTGTACGTCAGGCCCATACTGGAGTATGCAGCACCAGTTTGGAACCCACACCTGGTCAGGCACCTCAAGAAATTAGAGAAAGTGCAAAGGATTGCAACAAAGCTACTTCCAGAGCTAAGTGGAATGTCCTACGAAGAAAGGTTAAGGAAAATCGGCCTGACGACACTGAAGAACAGGAGGGTTAGGGGAGACATGATAACGACATACAAAATACTGCGAGGAATTGACAAGGTGGACAAAGACAGGATGTTCCAGAGATGGGACACAGAAACAAGAGGTCACAATTGGAAGCTGAAGACTCAGATGAGTCAAAGGAAAGTTAGGAATTATTTCTTCAGTCTCAGAGGTGTCAGGAAGTGGAATAGTCTGGCAAGTGAGGTAGTGGAGGCAGGAACTATACATAGTTTGAAGATGAGGTATTATAAAGCTCGTGGAGCAGGAAGAGAGAAGACCTAGTAGCGATCAGTGAAGCGGCGGGGCCAGGAGCTGAGTCTCGACCCCTGTAACCACAAATAGGTGAGTACAAATAGGTGAGTACACCTGATGAGCAAGCTAACATTAACTACATCACACTGATACACTCACTTGAAATACAAAGCCAGTACAGGAGACACATCACGTCCAGGGGCACTGAAACATCCTGAAGTAACGTGTCCAGGCAAGTCAAGTTTCCACGACCCTCGGTGACGCATCGAACACTGTCCTTCTCCCACCTACACAACAGTGTCCTCAAAGGTTTGTTAAGTTATACCATGAATTAAGGAAAGATCCTACAGTTCACCTTACGAAACAGATAAATCAAATGCGATAGTAATTATGGACAAGGTAGATTATAGTGGAAAAATGAACATATTATTAGAAATCAAAATAAAAATGTTTATTTCCTTGTAAAACTTACAATGTGTGGTTTACATGTTATAAAATATTAATTACAAAGAAGGCCACTAGTAGGCCTAGACATTTCTGGCAAACTAATACTAATTCTTACTCTATATTGATATAGGTACAGTTGAACATACATAATTAGATACATACCTAGTTAGGTATATACATATTTAGCTTTATAATAGTGAGGTAGTACAGTCTTATAATAATATTACAAATGGTAAATTTACTAATGGGATTGACTTTGTCTTGGCATCATACATTGTTTATGTTGAAGCTCATGCACTGTTTATGTTGAAGCTCATACATTGTTTATGTTGAAGCTCATGCACTGTTTATGTTGAAGCTCATACACTGTTTATGTTGAAGCTCATACATTGTTTATATTGAAGCTCATACATTGTTTATGTTGAAGCTCATACATTGTTTATGTTGAAGCTCATACATTGTTTATGTTGAAGCTCATACATTGTTTATGTTGAAGCTCATACATTGTTTATGTTGAAGCTCATGCACTGTTTATGTTGAAGCTCATACATTGTTTATGTTGAAGCTCATACATTGTTTATGTTGAAGCTCATACATGTTATGTTGAAGCTCATACATTGTTTATGTTGAAGCTCATACATTGTTTATGTTGAAGCTCATACATTGTTTATGTTGAAGCTCATACATTGTTTATGTTGAAGCTCATACATTGTTTATGATGAAGCTCATACATTGTTTATGTTGAAGCTCATACATTGTTTATGTTGAAGCTCATACATTGTTTATGTTGAAGCTCATACATTGTTTATGTTGAAGCTCATACACTGTTTATGTTGAAGCTCATACATTGTTTATGTTGAAGCTCATACATTGTTTATGTTGAAGCTCATACATTGTTTATGTTGAAGCTCATACATTGTTTATGTTGAAGCTCATACATTGTTATGTTGAAGCTCATACATTGTTTATGTTGAAGCTCATACATTGTTTATGTTGAAGCTCATACATTGTTATGTTGAAGCTCATACATTGTTTATGTTGAAGCTCATACATTGTTATGTTGAAGCTCATACATTGTTATGTTGAAGCTCATGTACTGTTTATGTTGAAGCTCATACATTGTTTATGTTGAAGCTCATACATTATTTATGTTGAAGCTCATACATTGTTTATGTTGAAGCTCATACATTGTTTATGTTGAAGCTCATACATTGTATATGTTGAAGCTCATACATTGTTTATGTTGAAGCTCATACACTGTTTATGTTGAAGCTCATACATTGTTTATGTTGAAGCTCATACATTGTTTATGTTGAAGCTCATACATTGTTTATGTTGAAGCTCATACATTGTTTATGTTGAAGCTCATACATTGTTTATGTTGAAGCTCATACATTGTTTATGTTGAAGCTCATACATTGTTTATGTTGAAGCTCATACATTGTTTATGTTGAAGCTCATACATTGTTTATGTTGAAGCTCATACATTGTTTATGTTGAAGCTCATACATTGTTTATGTTGAAGCTCATACATTGTTTATGTTGAAGCTCATACATTGTTTATGTTGAAGCTCATACACTGTTTATGTTGAAGCTCATACATTGTTTATGTTGAAGCTCATACATTGTTTATGTTGAAGCTCATACATTGTTTATGTTGAAGCTCATACATTGTTTATGTTGAAGCTCATACATTGTTTTGTTGAAGCTCATACATTGTTTATGTTGAAGCTCATACATTGTTTATGTTGAAGCTCATACATTGTTTATGTTGAAGCTCATACATTGTTTATGTTGAAGCTCATACATTGTTTATGTTGAAGCTCATACATTGTTTATGTTGAAGCTCATACATTGTTATGTTGAAGCTCATACATTGTTTATGTTGAAGCTCATACATTGTTTATGTTGAAGCTCATACATTGTTTATGTTGAAGCTCATACATTGTTTATGTTGAAGCTCATACATTGTTTATGTTGAAGCTCATACATTGTTTATGTTGAAGCTCATACATTGTTTATGTTGAAGCTCATACATTGTTTATGTTGAAGCTCATACATTGTTTATGTTGAAGCTCATACATTGTTTATGTTGAAGCTCATACATTGTTTATGTTGAAGCTCATACATTGTTTATGTTGAAGCTCATACATTGTTTATGTTGAAGCTCATACATTGTTTATGTTGAAGCTCATACATTGTTTATGTTGAAGCTCATACATTGGAAGAGTATCTTAGGCAAACTTAGGACTAACTTAAAATTTAATAGGTAAGAACTATACTGGGAATTATATGTTTACAGTTATTTGGGTGAGTGTAAGTGTACGTTGGCGGGAATTATAGTTAACGAGAGTTAGACTATATTGTTTTGGATGTGTTTATGATACAAAAAAAGAGAATTAAGAGGTTTCCATTTGGTTAACTGATGATGGGATGTGTTAGGGAGATGAGATTTTTTTAACGGTAGTTTTGAAAATGGTAGTTGAGTCTGCTCTTCTAGTTTTCAGGCGGGAGTTCCAGATTTTAGGCCCTTCTATGTATATCGAATTTTTGTAGAGGTTTAGCCGGACACGAAGAACTTACGTGCCGCTTAAGTTTCCGTTTTAAATTGTTGGTTAGCTATGTATTGTTGTAAGTTGAGTGAGTTGTCTCTGAAATCACGAGTTTTGTCGCTCTGCAGCACAAAACGACGCAGAGTATAACAATAGTTCCATCAAGCTGTTGATGGTATATGTAGCACAGCCGAGGCCAGCCAGTAGTGACATCTGTGTAATCTAAACATCCAGAATGGAATTAAATTCCAAATCTTTCCGTAATTTCTCACTGACGTTCTAAAAGAACACGAGAGTTCTTGTGACTGAAACAGCACGAGACTGCGTGAAGTTTAATTCTTTTTTCAAAGTAGTTAAATTGCGAAATAGGATATTACTTCTTACCTGATATTACTTGTTGCGTCAGTGTCAGGCTGTTGCAACCTTCAGTGAGATTAACCACTCGAAATAAATAAAGTTAGACTTTTTTCTTGTAGATGACGTAAATTTGCTCTTTAAAAGGGAACAAAAAAGGGGAAAATATGATCATCAGCGGCCTCCTGTGGGGCTGGTGATGTCATCAAGCTGGCCCCCTGTGGAGCGGGGTGTCATCACGGCCTCCTGTGGAGTGGTGATGTCATCAAATGGCCCCCTGTGGACTGGGGATGTCATCAGTGGCCCTTGGAGCTGGTGATTTTCAAGTGGCCTCCCGTGGGGTTGGGGATTCTCAAACTGGGCCCCCTGTGGATGGTGATTCACAAGCTGGCCTCCTGTGGGATGGGGAGTCATCAAAGGGGCCCCCTGTGGTGAAGGGGATTTCTCAACTGGCCTCCTGTGGGGATGGTGATGTCTCAAGTGGCCCCCTGTGGGGATGGTGATGTCATCAAGCTGGCCTCCTGTGGTGATGGTGATGTCATCAAGCTGGCCTCCTGTGGTGATGGTGATGTCATCAAGCTGGCCTCCTGTGGTGATGGTGATGTCATCAAGCTGGCCTCCCTGTGGGGTGGGATGCATCAAACGGCCCCTGTGGGATGGTATGTCATCAAACTGGCCCCCTTTGGGGGAAGGTGATTTCATCAAGCTGGCCTCCTGTGGTGATGGTGATGTCATCAAGCTGGCCTCCTGTGGTGATGGTGATGTCATCAAGCTGGCCTCCTGTGGTGATGGTGATGTCATCAAAACCCGGCCTCCGTGGGGGGGTCATCAAGCTGGCCTCCGTGGGGTGGGGATGTCTCAAGCTGGCCCCCTGTGGAGCTGGTGAGTCATCAAGCTGGGCCCCGTGGTGATGGTGAGTCATCAACGGCCTCCTGTGGTGATGGTATTCATCAAGCTGGCCCTTGGTGATGGTGGCCCTCAAGCTGGCCCCCGTGGGGGTTGGTAATTCACAAGCTCCCCTGTGGTGATGGTGATTCATAAGCTGGGCCCCCTGTGGAGCTGGGGAGTCACAAGCTGGCCTCCGTGGGGTTGGGATATCACAAGCGGCCTCCCTTTGGGGATGGTGATGTCATCAACTGGGCCCCCTGGGTGAGGGGAGCATCAAGCTGGGCCTCCTGGGGTCTTGTTATGTATCAAGCTGACCTCCGGGGTTTGGTGATGTCATCAACTGGCCCCTGTTGTTCTGATCCATCAAGCTGGCCTCCTGGGTTTTGGGTGTTTTTCATCAAGCGGCCTCCTGTGGCTTGGTGATGTCTCAAGCGGCCTCCTGTGCTTGGGCGATGTAATCAAGCGGGAAAAAGGAAGGTTTCATAAGAGATTTTGCGAGTCTGCAACCATTGCACACCGTATCCCCCTTCAGTTCTATCTGCAACACCCAACCAAAAATTTGCTATTCTTGCATTTTAACACTGCCAAGCCTTTTTAGATGATTCAATCGTTAGTTTCCTTGTAACATAAATTCCTTACAAACTTTACTGTTTGGTTTTAGTACTTCGTCTTCATAGGAGATGAAGTCTGCATTAGCAAACAGTTTCGGTAGAAACGATTCAACACGCTTTTCAACGACAAAGTTAGATCTTTATTCAACTTGTCATGAGAGCTTTACAACGAGTCCCACGGTAACAACAAGATCCCTTCCACCAATTGTCCCCAAGAAGTCCGAATTATCCTCACGCAGCAGGTAAATCTTTTTTGTATGTAAAAGGCACAGTGGGAACTAATATTTTCAAAAACTGAAACGTTTTGCTATCCAGGAGCTTTTACTTGACAAAGCCTAAAAATTTTGGAGCTTTAGCTTGCTGGACATTACCCTCATTATCTCCAAGTGTGTGACAACTTGTTAGCTGCATTTTCTCAAAGAACTTATTATATTCAACTGAGATTTCAAACCCTAACTTACACAAAACAAATGGCACTGAAGCAAGAAATTTGATCAGAAATGTGACAAAAAGGTTTTTCTATTGAGATGTTCATTTACCTGAATGACAATTATTTATTGCTGTGAGGTTTTTAAAAAGTAACCTTAATTAAGCCAAGAACAACCTATTGAAGTTTAAACTTCTAAATGAAGTTTTTGGGTTTTTTCCCTTAAACCCCTAACATAAGAGTTGTGTCAAAGCAGAGCCTTGTGGTTCAACCGGGTTTCATGCTGCAAGCCAATTTAACAGTTTTTTCCCACCTATAAATAAGTAAAAAAGATAACACTTATTGTGGTGTTCCTTCCGAACTTTGTCCAACGTGAGAACCTATAAATTTTCCCCTTCTTTTCTGTCAGGGTTGTTTTTTCCGAATAATTTATTAGTTTAATAGAACTTCATACCTGAATTAAAGTTGAACCTTGCTTCTCCATGTGAAAACACAGCATCGTTAACTAATAGCAGTGAGATACGTTGTGAATATTACGTTAATCTTAAAAAGTTAATTTTCAACAAGTGTTTTCAGTGATTTTCTCGACGATATATCTTCCTCTTCAATGATTTCCTTTTAGTGTCACTCAGCAGGTGTCACTGTGACAACCTTATCTTCCAGAAGTACTTCTAAAAACATTAAATAACATCTACCTGACATGCACACTCTTGCACCTTCGGTGGTGTTTCATGAGGCTTTTCTGCACTTAACAAGAAGTAGTATATATTTCTCGTATAACATTCTTTGTGATAAACTACGTCATATACATCAATATTCTTGAGATCGAAACACACACTTAACCTCAGCTTCCAGTGATTGTTTTACTTAGTTAGCATCAGCTTTCAGTGAGTGTTTTTACTTAACCTCAGCTTCCGGTGACTGTTGTTACTTAACCTTAGCTTCCATTGACTGTTGTTACTTAACCTCAGCTTCCCGTGACTGTTATTTAACCTCAGCTTGCATCACTGCAAAAAACATCTCACTTGCATCACTGCAGGAAACATCGTATAATGGATACTTCGCAGCTTGACATCTTCTGCAAGAATATATTTTTGTAACGGCTTATGGTCATTTTCGTTTCTAATATAATGATGTTACCTTAAAATGCTCACTGAGGTCTTACCAGTGTCTTCATATTCTACCAGAAGCTTTTCATAATTTATTCTATACTTTTCAACATCACCTATTTTTTATTGTATTTCTCGTAACATACAGAAGCTGCTTTACATTATAATGATTTATTTTCCTGCAATTGTATTTTGCCAGTGTTCTGCAAGATGCGTATGATCATTATCTTCTCTTAACTCGAATTATTACAACAATATGTAGTTTTTGTGTAGATTCTGAGTTTTTAATTGAAGAATTCTGTTGGTGTTGACACAATGAACACAAATCAATTACGTTCAATACATATAGTTGAACGGTTATGTACGAGACAGGAAAAATTAGCCTAACACAAGTGATGAAATTACATTTATGTTCTATTGACATGAAAATATCTGAGACACCAGTTACTTTAAAACAAATTTTGTTAGGATACTTTTTTTTCAGTCTCAAAATATATCTTTAAAATGTGACCTTAACAGCTGAAACTGGTCCATAAATAATGGATATCTTAAATATTTTATGAAAATCGTTGGCGGTCATCTTGATAACGTCACCAATACTACACACTCGGCACCATAGAAATTATTCCTCCACAGGTGGCGACTGGTGAAAGACAAACAGTTCCACGACCTTATGACAAACCTGCCACGGTGGAGCATGAGTGTTCTTCATGTGCTCGTTTACTGCCAGGTGTGTCAACTTACCTTTAAGTTACACAGCTGCTGTTCCGGTCTCCCGTCAAGACATGACTTTATGAAGGCTTCTGTAAGTATAAATATTGATTATATTTTACTCCACCCATCCATCCAACACTCCCACCTACACTCCCACCTACAGTCCCACCAACACTCCCACCCACACTCACACCACCACCCTCACCAACACTTCCACCTACACTCCCACCAACACTCCCACCTACACTCCCACCTACACTCCCACCAACACTCTAACCAACACTTCCACCAACACTCCCACCAACACTCCCATCTACTCTCCGACCAACACACCCACAAACACTCCCACCAACACTCCCACCAACACTCCAACCTACTCTCCCACCTACCCTCCCACCAACAGTCCCACCTACAGTCCCACCAACACTCTAACCAACCCTCCCACCAACACTCCCACCTACTCTCCCACCTACACTCCCACCAACAGTCCCACCTACACTCCCACCATCACTCTAACCAACACTCCCACCAACACTCCCACCTACTCTCCCACCTACACTCCCACCAACAGTCCCACGTACACTCCCACGTACACTCCCACCAACACTCTAACCAACACTCCCACCAACACTCCCACCAACACTCCCACCTACACTCCCACCTACACTCCCACCTACACTCCCACCAACACTCCCATCTACTCTCCAACCAACACACCCACCAACACTCCCACCTACTCTCCCACCTACACTCCCACCAACACTCCCACCCACACTCCCACCAACACTCCCACCAACACTCCCACCTACACTCCCACCTACACTCCCACCTACACTCCCACCAACACTCCCATCTGCTCTCCAACCAACACACCCACCAACACTCCCACCTACTCTCCCACCTACACTCGCACCAACATATGCAATAATTTCGCCAAAATCAATCTGAACCTAACGAAAAAATATATCTCACTGTGTTTGTTTAATATTAAATTATTATAAACAAATCTAAAATATATTTAGTTGGGTTAGGATAAAATAAATTGAGCTTGTTATAATAAGGTTAGGTAAGTTTTCTAAGATTCTTTTGGGGCAAAATTATACATTTTTACATTAACATTATTGAAAAAATATATCTTTAAACGTATACGAGAAAATTTCAGAATGGAATTAATTTTAAATGAGTTCTTGCTAACTGACCAGTTTTACCTATCGGCACGACATATATATATATATATATATATATATATATATATATATATATAATATATATATATATATATTATATATATATATATATATATATATATATATATATATATATATATATATATATATATTACATAACTAACTTCTGGTAGGCCACATAAATTCTGGAATCGTACATATGTTTTGGAAGGTCAAATAATTTCAGGAAGGTCACATACCTAACTTATGAAATGCCACATAATTTCTGGAACGTGCCATAACATTTAGAAGGCCATGTAACTAATATCTGGAACACCATATAACTAACGTCTAGAAGGCCACATAACTTCTGAAAGGTCACATAACTAACTTTGGAAGGTTACATAACTTCTGAAAGTCAAAATTACTTCTGACAGGTCACATAATTTAGAAAGATCACGAAAATAACTTCTGAAAAGCACATAACTTCTGAAAGGTCACATAACTAAGTTCTGGAAGGCTACATAACTTCTGGAATGCCACATGCCTAACTTCTGAAAGGCCACATAACTAATTTTTGGAAGGCCACATAACTTCTGAAAGGCTACTTAACTTTTGGAAAGCCACGTAACTAACTTTTGGAAGGCTCATAACTTATGGAAGACCATATAACTAATTTTTGAAAAGCCATATAACTTCTGAAACGCTACATAACTTCTCTAAGGTCACATAATTAACTTCTGGAATGCTACATAGCTTCTGGAATGACACATGCCTAATTTTTGAAAGCCACATGACTAACTTTTGGACGGTCACATAACTAACTTCTGGAAGGTCACATAACTAACTTTTGAAAAGCCACTTAAGTAACTTCTGGAAGGCTATATAACTTATCACAGGTAATATAACTAGCTTCTGGAAGACATGTAGCTTCTTGAGCGCCACATTCCTAACTTCTGAAAGTCCACATAACTAACTTCTGAAAGGCCACATGACTAACTTCTGAAAGACCATATAACTAACGTCTGGAAGGCCCCATAACTAACGTCTGGAAGGCCACATAACTAACTTCTTGAAGGCGACATATCTTCTGGAAGGTCACATATCTAATTTCTGGAAGGCCATATAACTTCTGAAAAGCCACATAACTTTTGGAAGACCACATAACTAACTTTTGAAATGCTACATAACTAACTTTTGAAATGCCATCTAACTAACTTCCGGAGGGCCACATAACTAATTTCCGGAAGGCCACATAACTAATATCTGGAAGGCCATACACTTAATTTCCACAAGGCCTCATAACTTCTGAAAGGCCACATAACTAACTTCTGGAAAGCCAGATAACTTCTGAAAGACTACATAACTAACGCTAGACTGGAGTCTGCCTTTGTGTATAAAGTACTTTGAACTCTGATGCCGAGTTTGCAGGTTGGAATACTGCGACTAGCTAGGGATCGAACCCCAGATATTTTAGCACGCCTTACGAGAAACCAGCCAAAACTCCGAGTAGCCTTAGACTAAGTGGCTATCAATGCTTCAGACATCAGGAGGCCAGCACCACTTGACATGTCACTCCTGATGCCAGCACATACGTTGCCATGGAATCTACTGGACTAATTTCATTCTACTCCCATTAGGAATATCGGTCTTATCAAGCAGTATATATATTAAAAGTCACGTAAGTTCCCCAGACTTATAATAACACGTTCACTTTTCCAATATAAACATGTTATTAAAAGACGGAGGAACTTACAAGCCTTTTAATGCTTCCACGAACGAGTGGTACTGGGCGCCTGATGTTTGAAGCAGTGATGGCTCAGTAGGTTAAGGTGTCTTGGAATTTTGGCGGGCTTCTCGGGAGGCATGATAAAATATCGGGAGTTCGATCCTCGGCTAGTAACCACACGTTAAAGGTTGCATGTCAACCTTTTGTAAATGTGTAAATATTTTTTTTTTTTTTGCCTGAGTCAGTTGTCCTACTGCGTTGTGTATCTCATTCTTTTGTGCTGCCATCATTGCTAATGTACTGGATGGTAAATGACTATTATAAGTCACATCACAGGAATAACTGCTATGCAAATGAGCTAGAAATTACACACATTGTGGAAGTCATAACTCAGACAAAACTGACAGCGTTTGGTAAAATGTAATAATAAACAAAGTTCATTCCCAAATAGCTTATGGCTCGACAGTCAAGTGTTTAGCAACAAGTTCTCTTTGTTGTTAGAGTTTATAGGGCCACTGACGGCTTACATTGTGTCGAGTCCTAGTGGCTGGAGCGACTCAGGAAACACATTATGAGGTAGAACTCACTTTGTGACCCACATAACTCCGGGTTCTCAGCCTCGACAGCATACTTGAACTTCGAGGTCGTGTTGTCTGCGTCCCACACCTTAATATCCACAACAGAACATTTCTTTCTGGTCGGCTCTGTCGGTGACGTCGGCACCTTCATGGTCGTCGGCGCAGTCAGCGCCTTCATAGACGTCGGCAAAGTTGGCACCCTCATGGTCATCGGGGAAGTCGGCACCTTCGTGGTCGTCGGGGAAGTAGGCACCTTCGTGGTCGTCATCGGCTGCGTGGTAGTGACCACATATGCACCTATAGGCATAAGTATTCCACAAGTCATAAAACATTATACGTAACACAGCGACACAGTCATGACTCTGGGCAACACAACACAAAATCAATATTCGTCAAGTTCAGCATAGTGAAGCCCCTTTGTTGTCTTCCATAGTTACTCTTTTATGTATTTTTTTTAACACGCTGGCCGTCTCCCACCGAGGCATGGTGTCCCGAAAAAGAAACAATTTCACCATCATTCACACTATCACTGTCTTGCCAGGAGCACGAAGATACTACAGTTTAATTGTCCAAACAACAAACATCCCAATCCCTTCCTTTAGAGTACAGGCATTGTACTTCCCACATACAGGGCTCAAATCAAGCTAACTGTTTTTTTCTGAAGCCCTCCACAAAATGTTACTTTGCTCTCACTCCAACACCTTGTCAGGTTCCAAAATCCATTTGTCTCTACTCACTCCTATCTAACACGGTCACAGATGTCTCCTGGATGTCCAAGCCCCTTACACAGACAACCTTTACTCCCTCCCTCCATCCATTCCTAGACCAACCCCTACCCAGCCTTCTCTCCATCACAGATTTATACACCCTCCAAGTCATTTTATTTAGTTCCACCCTATTTCAATGACCAAACCATCTCAGCAACCCTTTATCAGCTGTCTGAATAATACTTTTACTAACTCTACATCTCCTAATCTCCAAACTACGAAATCTTTACATAAAATTTACACCACACATTGCCCTCAGACACAACATCTCCAGTGCCTCCAGCCTCCTTCTCGTTGCAACATTAACAACCCATGCTTCACAACCATATAAGAGTGTTGGTACTATTATACCATCATACATTCCCCCTCTTTGCCTCCATGGCTAACGTTCTTTGTCTCCACAGAAACCTCAATGCACCACCTACTTATTTTCCTTCATTAATTCTATGGTTCACTTCGTCTTTCATAGACCCATCCGCTGACAGGTCCATTCCCAAATATCTTAACACATTCACCACTTCCATACTCCATCCCTCCAACCAGATATGCAATCTTTCATTACGTAACTCGTTTCCAACCCTCATCACCTTGCTCTTTCATGTGTTAATTTTTTAATTTCCTTCTTTTTACATACACTCTCAGATTCGTCTATTAACCTTCGCAACTTCTTTTTAGAATCTCCCAAAAATACAGTGTCATCAACAAAAAGTAACTGTGTCGACTACCACTTTGTATTTGATTCTGAATATTTTAATCCCGCCCCTCTCTCCAACACCCTAGTATTCACTTCTTTTACAACCCCATCTACAAATATGTTAAACAACCATGGTTATATCAAGCATCCCTGTCTAAGGAGTACTTTTACTGGGCAGTAATCTCCCTCTCTCCTACTCACCCTAACCTGAACCTCACTGTCATCATTAAAACTCTTTACAGTATTCAATAACTTACCATATATTTCATATATATTATTTGCTTTTAATTTTTTTTATTATTACATGTTGGTAAAATATTCAACACATTTCATCGTATGTGTGCATATATGTGAACATATATTTTTACAACATAATTTCTCTCTCTCTCTCTCTCTCTCTCTCTCTCTCTCTCTCTCTCTCTCTCTCTCTCTCTCTCTCTCTCTCTCTCTCTCTCTCTCTCTCTCTCTCTCTCTCTTTTATTTTTTTACACAAGGTTTGACTAGGTTAGGTTAGGATCCCTGGCTTTATTGACAATCTGTTTACAAGTTAAGGATTCCTAACTTTATTGACAAGCTAAGAGCTGTTACCTACATCAGCTCATTTGAAAAAAAATTTATTGTTATGAAACATACAAGTAGGGAACAGGTTGAAGTTGGAGCCATCTGTGGGCCAGCATTTTCATTTAATCAACTGACTTTATCTCGTTGACATCATAATGCTGTACTAATGTGTTTCAGACCTGAGTCATCCTGGAGATAAATGATCTCAGATGGAGTGATGTTCTGGAGAAGGGTGCAGCCAGAGTGAAGTTGCTGCTTTCTGCCCGTCTTGTGGCATAAAAGCTTGTTTCACGCTGTCCTCGAAGTGGATCCAAGTGTGGTACTTTGACAATATTGGCCTTGTACATAACAGTAAGGCCACCCACATCCCTCCTGAGTTAAAGGCTCTGCTGAAATGACAGGTCTATCCAGGATGGGTCCAGGCGAGAGATGAGACGTCTTGCTCTTTTCTCTACTCTGTCAAGCAGTTGCAGATGAGGGGGGGGAGGAAGGCAAACCAAGAAAGTGGAGCATACTCAAGGTGTGAGCGTACTTGTGCCTCGTACAGAATCTTGCAACCCCTACTGTCAAGCAGATGTGAGATATAGCGAAGTGCTGTAAGCTTCCTGGCTGCCTTGTTTGCAAGATTTACAACATGGTTCTTCATGGTCAGTTTAGAGTGAAGTTTCACCCCAAGGATATCAACTTCTCCCATTCGCACTTACTACTGCACTGGCATTACCATCATGGTGCCTAGAGACCACCATCATTTGTGTTTTCTCAGGTGCAAATGTTACTTGCCATCAGTTTCCCCAAGGTGATATAGCTCTTAGCTGGTGATTGATGTAGCTTAGAGCAGTTGGCATTCTTCTCTCATATAAGTGAATGTCAGTGTACAGTCGTCTGTACATGGGATTCTGAGATGAGATGAAGAAGGTCATTGAATTAGACATTATGGCAAGTGTTCCTTGTGGAACACTTGTCCTAATAGGATGTCTTGCTGATTCTGTTCCATTGAGAACTACACTTAGAGATCTACCATGAAGGTAATCACTGAGGAGACATAGCGTAGAGCCTGCAATTCCAAGTGCTTGCAGTTTTGCAAGAGGTCCTGGTGCCACACTCGGTCGAAAGCGCCAGCAATGTCCAGTGCTACCACACAGCTGAATTTGGATTCGTCCAGTGACTGGTGCTATTTAGTAGAGAGGTTTAACAGCAGATCAGCAGCAGAGTAACATTTCCTGAAGCCACATTGACGGTCACAAAGTAGTGAGTGGTAGTCAAAAAACTCTGTCATTTGCCTTGAGATTATTATCTCAAGGATCTTACCAGTGATTGACAGGAGTGACACTAGTCTGTAGTTGCTGATTTCTGCTCTGCTCTTCTTTTTGTGAACAAGGACTACATTTGCCAATTTCTACAGACAGGGCCAATTACACTGTACTAGGCAGTGTTGAAAGATGCGAGTTAGAGGTGCTAATAGCTGGTCTGCACATCTTCTCAGCAATCTTGGGCTCAACTTGTCTGGGCCCACAGCTTTTTCTTGGTCAAGCGATTTAAGAAGGAAATGCACCTCCTCCTGCCTTATTGTCACCACTGACAGTTTTGACACAGTTCTTGCAGCTAGCCAAGGAGGATCCCTTGCTGGATCAGGAACTTGCATTTTGGTAGCAAAATGTTCGGCAAAGAGGTCTGCTTTCTCTTGACTACTAGTAGAGGTGGTCCCATCCTGTCAGTTTGGAGGTGAAATGAGTTCATCAGGCAGATAACCTTTTCTGTTCTTGACCAGAGACCACCAGGTTTTGGAGCCTACTCTACCTGATGCTAGCTTTCTTTTTGTGTCCACCTCCCATTTAGCGATGTCCCACTTTTGAACGTCACCGATATGCCTACAGGCTTGCCTGTGGGAGTTCCTGATATAAGTGGTAGGTTGTCTCTTATACCTTCGCCATGCCTTGTACTTAGCAGTAGCAGCCTCTCTACAAAGAAATCCAAACCAAGGCTGATCTGTAAGCTTCGTCACATACATGTATTTCCGGTGAGGAATGTGTTCTTGTTGTGGATTAAGGATGTGTCCAGTGAAGGCTTTCACTTGGTTGTCAACATCCCCTTGGAGAAGAACATTCCAATCGGTGGTGGCGAGCTCAGAGCAAAGGGCTGGCCAATTACCTCTTTCCTGCAGCCAGGTTGTGCGTGTGGACTCCTCACCTCGTTCTGTTGGGATCTTAAGTGTCGTAAAAACAGCCTTGTGGTCACATGATACAACGTAGCCGAGGGGTTGACAAGTGACTATACCGTCTGCCAGATCACTCACTATTGGGTCAAGGGAGGAGCCAGAGATGTAAGTAGGGAAATCAACAGTTTCTCATGTCAAATACCGCAAGAAGGTCATCAAAGTACCTCTGTATAAGGTGTTGGTTGGGTCACCAACAATTATATGTTGACAGTTGTGATGGAGCAGAAGGGAGTTGATGGGGTCTGCATGTTGCCACTGAGGTCTGTACATTGCACATGCTAGTACAGAGGTACTAGTGTTCGTGCAGAGCTAGAAGAACATCATTTCAAGATGAGTAGGGATGGCAACGTCAATGTGCTGGGCATGAACACTTTTAAAAAGCACACACAACCTCCTCCTTCCTTGCCTTCCTTCTCATCCATGAGTGTACCCACAATTCTTACAAATTTTTCCCCTCTTCTCTCCCCTCTCTCTCTCCCCTCTCTCTCTCTCTTCCTCTCTCTCTCCCCCTCTTCTCTCTCTCTCTCTCTCTCTCCTCTCTCTTCCTTTCTTTTCCTTCTCTCTCTCTTTTTTCCCCTCTCTCCTCTCTCTCCTCCTTTTTCCCTCTCTCTCTCCTTCTCTCTCTCCTTCTCCTCTCCTTTTCTCTTTTCTCTCCTCTCTCTCTTTCTCTCTCTTTTTTCTCTCTCTCTCTCTCTTCTCCCTTCTCTCCTCTCTTCCTTCTCATCCCTTTCTCCTCTCCTTTCTCTCTCTCTCTCCTCTCTCCTCTCCTCCTCTCTCTCTCTCTTTCTCTTCTCTCTCCCCTCCCCCTCCCCCCTCTCCTCTCTCTCTCTCGCTCTGGACCTGAAAAATGGAACCCCAGCTTTGTCCACCTTTTTTTCCTCGGTTACCATGAAAAAACACAGGTCCCCTTTATCATCTGCAAAAAAATTAATTAGTTATATCATTTGTTGCCGAATAATACAAAACACCTTAATGGGGGCAAAATTTTAAATAAAAACCTCAATACAATTTCCTAAGGATGGACCTCCCGCATAACCGGGGGGTCATCCCACCAGAACCC